AAAAAATTAACCCAAGGTAGGGGTTAGGGAAACCCGATTTGTAGCCAGTGGGTCAGAATCACACGTCACTCTCAGAGTGTAGGATTGGCAACTGAGGGCAGGGGCAGTCTTGGGGACAGTCTTCAACCTGAGGGCTCATGCTACCTCCAACAGACAGAATGAAGACGAGGGGACACTCAGCTGGTGTCCACCGCACAGCTGGCTGCAGGGGAAATCTTGGCACACATGGGTTCAGAACCCATCTGGATTGTGAACGCACAGGAGGAGAAAGTGAGTCTGAGTTTGCTTTTTCTGCTCATAGGTGTAAGTTTAAGTGGGTTTTTTTTGAGTGTTCTTTTGTTTTGTTTTGTTTTTTAAGATTGTACCTGGGTGTGGTGAACTGGAAGCAGGATCTTCTCAAGTTCAAGGCCACCGTGAGCTGCACAGGGAAAATCTGCCCCCCATAAACAAACAAACAAAAGAACCATTTTTTGTTTGTTTTTTGAAATAGTGTCTCACTATGTAGTTTAGGCTTGCCTTGAACTCACTATGTAGCCTAGGCTGGCCTCGAATTTGTGGCAATCCTCCTGCCTCGGCCTCCTGAATGCCCAGCTATTAGATTTGCAGAAAAATTGCTGAGAAAGAACAGACTTGCTTTCTATTCCTTCTCTCTGGCACAATGTTTCCTATCATGAACATCTTGCTTTAGTGTGACATATCCACTACAACTGAAACAATACTGATAAAATATTATTAAATGAAGTCCATAGTTAACATTAAGTTTCATTCTTAGTGTTGTCCAGTCTATGAGTTTGGACAAGAGGATGTCAGGTATATCCCATTACAGTGTCACAGAGTAGTTTCACAGACATGCAAATGCCCTGTGTCCCACCTATTCATCCTTCTCTTTCCCCTTTGACCCCCTGGTCAAAGTTTTGCCTCTTCCAGAATGTGATGTCAAAGGGTTGGAATCATTCAGTGTGTTGCTTTTCCAAACTGGCTTCTTTTCATTAGTGTTATAATTTGGATCTAGAATGTTCCCCAAAGGCCAGCTGATGGGCTTTTGGGGAGTAACTGGATTGTGAGGTCTCTAACTTTATCCACAGAGAGATCACATAATTGGACTTTATTGGGAAGTGATGGAAATAGGAGGTAGGGCCTAGGTGAAGGGAGTGAGTCACAGGGTATGTGTGACCTTGGGAACTGTATCTGGTCCCTAGCCCCTTCCTCTCTGATTCTTTCTTTCTCTCTTTGCTTCCTGGCTGCTATAAGGTGAGCAACTTTCCTCCATCATGGTCTTCTGCAATGAGGTTTCTACCTCGGGCGGAGCCAACCATGGGCTGAAACCATAAGCCAAAATAAACCTTTCTTTCTGTCAGTTGTTCTGTTATTTGGTCACAACAACAAAAAGCTGACTAGGGCCAGGGATTTAGCTCAGTGGTTCCACTGCCTGCCTTGCAAGCACAAAGTCCCGAGTTCGATCCCCAGTACCAAAAAAAAAAAAGCTGACTAACACAATTTATAAGATTCACTAAAGGGGCCGGGGATTTAGCTCAGTGGTTTCACCACCTGCTGCGCAAGTACATGGACTGGAATTCGATCCCTGGTTCCAAAAAAAAAAAAATGCACTTAAGCAGGGTGGGGCGTGGCTACCATGTCTTTCTGTAGTTTAATAACTCATTTCTTTTCATACTGAATTTAAAGAAATGGTGGGATCCACTGATGTGTTCACTATGCTGGAGAAGGCTGGGGCACACTTCAAGATGCCCATGTTTGTGATGGGCGTGAGCCATGAGAAATACAACTAAATCCCTCACACTCAGAAGCAGTGCCTCCTGCACATCAGCCGCTTAGCGCCCCCATGACCTTGGCATTGTGAAGGGATTCATGGCCACAATCCATGCCATCACTGCCACCCAGAAGATGGGGACGGTGCCTCGGGAACTGGCCTTATGACCAGGGGGCTGCCCAGATTCATGCAGAATGTAGGATCATTCCTACTTCCACTGGTACTGCCAAGAGGATGGGCAAGGTCAGGCCTGAGCTGAATGGGAAGTACACTGGCACGGCCTTCTGGGTCTCCACCACAACATGTCACTTGTGGACCTGCCTTGTTGCCTGGAGAAAGCTGGCAAATATGAAGACAGCAAGAAGATGGTAAACCAGACAGCAGAAGGGCCCTCTAAAAGGCATCCTGAGCCACTCTGAGGTCCAGGCTGTCTCCTGTGACATCAACAGCAACACCCACTCCACCACCCGCACTAGGGCTGGTATTGCTTTTTTGAGCTCATTTCCTGGTCTAACAATAAACAGGGTGGTGGACCTCAGGGTCCCCACATGGCCTGCAAGGAGTAAGAGCCCTGGACCACCACCCCCAGCAAGAGCAGAGAGGAAAAGAGGCCCTCAGCTGCTGAGAGTCCCTGCTCCCAACACATTGAGAGTCTCTCATCACAGTGTCCATCCAGGGCCCCGAAGAAGAGGAGCTTAGGGAACCCAACCTTGTCATGTATCATTAAGTCCGTTGCACCCCCCCCCCTCAAAAAAAACCCTGGTTACCTCCCTAGCTGGAGCCAACCTCTGTCCCTGGACATCTGCAGCACTCTTTTATCTAAACGTCCTACTTCCTTTCTTGCACCCCTCCAACTCATTCCTACCCACTTCCTCCTTTGCTTGGACAAATTTGATCAAGTAGAACAAAATCCAGGTCCCACTCGGCCCTGCCATTCTCCCCTCCTTTCTTTCTGTTGCCTTTTTGTTGTTGTTGTTTTGGTACTGGGATTAAACTCAGGACCTTGCGCTTTTGAGGTAGGCTGCAGCACCACTGAGCTAAATCCCTGGCCCATCCTTTCTTTCTGTTTATGTCACTATGTGAACACCCTGGGCTCAGTCTTCAGTAGTGGAAAAGAGAGAAAGTGAGAGAGAGAGAGAGAGAGAGAGAGAGAGAGAGAGAAAGGGCTGGGGGATGTGTGCTTGCCTAGCATGCACAAAACTCTGGGTTCCATCCCCAGCACAAAAAAAGCAACAGCAGACATACATCAGTCTCCGATGCTGCCAGGACATCTCGCAGGCATCTCCCCACCCTGCCACAACTCCCTGGCTCCAACACCTGGACTAGAGCCACCTTGGCCCTTTCTTTGCACCAGCTTTTCTTCTCCAGTGGATTATCGGTATAAAAACTGCTTCAATGTCTGCCTCGCTCAGAAAGGACCGGGGCCAGGGGTCTTCACCATCTTATGCCCAGGTGAGCACAATGCCTCATACAGGTAGATGGACATTGCCCACATGGGAACGGTCAAATGCAGTCAGCAGGAGTGACAGAGGGTTTGTGAAAGTCACTGTGGGGACTGTGGAAGGCATAGGTTGAGGGGAGGGGTGTTAGTTGCCATCTGTCCAGAACATCTTTCCTCTCCCAGACCCCCACTCTCTATAGTGCAGCCACAAGGAACACTGGCAGTTGCACTGATGGGCGCGTGTTCCCCAGTCTCTAACGGTGATGGTGAACCTTTTAGAGCTTTCAGCGATAACAGCCAGCCTTCTGTGGCATATGTGCCATTGGTTCGCCACCACTGCGTCTAGATCTTTGATCTTGCTGCTCTCTCTTCTAGAAAAAACCTTCCTAGCACCTTATTGCATAAGTCCTATTTGTCTATAGCAACCAGGACTTAGCTTCCTTGATTCCCAAAATTGGGTGGGGAGAGCCTCCTCTCCCAGCAGGGCTGATCTCCCTTAGCCCTGGGTCTCTGCCATGGAAAGATCCCCCCAGAAAGATTTAGTGAAAATCTGACCCATAAAAGCCAGGCATGGTGGTGCATGCCTGTATTCACAGCACCTAAGCATTTGGGAGGCTGAGGCAGGAGGGTTGCTATGAGTTCAAGGCCAGCCTGGAACATAGTGAGACCCTGTCTCAAAAAACAAACAAACCAACAAACAAAAATATCTAAAGCAAAAATGCTGAATGTGGAGGTCAAAGAGCACAGAAATTGTTTCCAGCCCTGACTCACCAGCTGAGGGAGTTCAGCAAATCACACCCACAAAGGCCTCAGTTTTTCACATCTGTAAACTTGAGGTGAGACTATAGTCCCATTACATCAGTGGCTGTTACCTTTTGAAGGTCGTGGGTCTTAGAATTCCAGAAAAGGTATGCACGATTTCTGCAGCAGAATGCTTGTCTATACATCATGTAGGGGCTCCAGCAGCTGTTAGGCTGGGACCCTCATACCAGCGAAGAGCCCTGGGCTGGGGGATCACTCCAATGCCTCTCCACTTTTTGATTTTCCAACCTCTTGCAGTCCGCCAAGGCCAGGGGGAATCTGTGGATCCCAGATGGGCCTGCAGCCCTGCTGGAAGCCTCTGCCGTCCTCTCCCGGGGTCATGCGGCAAGAGGGCGCTTACAGTGCAAGAAACCCCAGGACTCTGGAGAAAGAGGGGCTTTCACCGTTGCAACTGTCCACCCCACTCAGAGAGAACGGGGAAATCAGGGCCGGACTTACCCAAGGTCACGCTGCGAGCCCCAGCCCGGAGGGCCGGCTTCCCGCACCCCGCCCGGATGCACCGAGCCGACGAGGCGGTGGCGGAGCTCCCGGCCTGCGCCCCAGGGCGCGGGGGTGGGTTGGGGCGGGGAGCGGGCAGAGCCGGGAAGCTACCGAGCCGGGGAGGGGCTGCCGTTTGCCAGGCGTCCGGCCGGCGTCCGCCCACAGCCAGCCCGGCCCCTCCTGCAAGCAGCTGCGGTAGCCCCAGGTAATTTCAGCGCGCAGCGCCGGGCCGGGCCGGGCCGGGCGAGGACAGCTGTGGCCGCGCAGGCTGAGCAGGGGGCGCAACGTGGGGAGCGCGGGGCTGCCGGCGCCAGATTGCCCCGGAATGCCCGCGCGAGCGCAGAGTGGGTGGCGGCCGCTGGCCCTGCAACCGGAGCTGCTGCCCCTGGTTAAAAATACCCCTGCCCTCCCCTCCCCCGCCTGCCCTCCCCTCCCCCGCCTGCCCTTCTGTCCAGGCCCCGCCGCCCCACCCCGGCAGGCGCTGGCCCCTCCCCGGGGACAACCCTGCCTTTGGCGAATGTGCCCTCGGGGAGCTGGTCCCCGGCGGCCGAGGGAGGGGCGGGGAGACATCGTGAGCAAGAGATAGTCAAAGTCGGTGCCGGAGAGATAAGGAGAGAGCCGAGGGGAAGCGGGTTAGGAGTGGGAGAAGAGGAAGACGAAGGAGGAGGGACGAGGGTGGAGGGAGAGGCGGGGAGGAGCGCTCTTCCTGGTTGGGCCCTGCCCTGAGCTGCTACCCGGGAAGCCCGCCGCGGGGACCTCCGCGACGACCCAACCTCCCCTCCCCTAGGTAAGGAGTACGGTGGGCGGGCCGCGCGTCTTTCCATCCACTGCTCCTGGGCTGAGGGGCTGCTCCAGATAGGCCCCTGCTCCGGGCCGGCTCGGTGCTTAGGGCGGCGTGAGGACGCCGGCTCCAGCCTGGGCTCCGCACTGTCCCCAGGGCCTGGGCTGGGGCCTGGCGGCTCTGATCTCCAAATCTGCCCCGGAGCCTAGGGAGAAGGGCCCTTCTTTCCTGGGGTTGTCAGTCCCTAAGCCAGAGAAAAAACTCGATGAACTAAGAGCTTGGCTAATTTGGGGAGGGGATAATAGGCGGGCCAACAGGGTCGAGACCCCTCTCTCATTTTTCCAGTTCCTTGAGTGGGGTTCCGCCCTACCCCACCTAGCCGCTGGGCTGACAGAACTGCCGGCCAAGAGTCAGGGGAAGGAGAAGTGGTGGTCAGAATACCTGGGAACCGGGGAGCCCTTTCCTGGATTCTGGGAGCACAGAGCCCTGAGCACTGTGAGGAGGGCAGACGTCTGGGTTTGAGGAGGAAAGGAGGGTAGGGCAGGAGAGAATCGCTAGCAGGCAGGAGCTGGGTTCTAGTACTGGGAAGGTTCCCTGCAGAACTGCCTGTCCTACAGGATGGCGGAGGAGTTCATCACACCCGTTTACTGCACTGGGGTGTCAGCCCAAGTGCAGAAGCAACGGGCCAGGGAGCTAGGCCTGGGCCGCCATGAGAATGCCATCAAGTACCTGGGCCAGGATTACGAGCAGCTGCGGGTGCGATGCCTGCAGAGTGGGGCCCTCTTCCGAGACGAGGCCTTCCCCCCAGTGCCCCAGAGCCTGGGCTACAAGGAGCTGGGTCCCAACTCCTCCAAGACCTATGGCATCAAGTGGAAGCGCCCCATGGTGAGAGGGGCCACCTTGGGTGGGACTCAGCTGACCCTTGTCCTGGGTAGGGAGTGGGGTCTGGGTGGCTGGGAGCCAGTTTCTAGAAGGGACTGGCCCAGGGACAGGACTCTGGGTCTTGCAGGAGCTGTTGTCAAATCCCCAGTTCATCGTGGATGGAGCCACTCGCACAGATATCTGCCAGGGAGCTCTAGGTAGGCCCCCGGGGTTGGATTCTAGGTGTTTTTTCCACGACAGCTCCCCATTCCCGCTCCTTTGGGTTCTGCCCCAGCCCCTCCCTCCTACAAGCCCCGACAGGCTTTGGAGACAGGCTTTGGCTATCAGCACTGGGGCTGGTTTGCCCAGTTCCTGGATCTTGTCTGTAAGCTGAGAGGCACCCCACCCAGAGTACCAATATAGTACCCACGAGCACACACACATACACCCCGGGCCTGACATGGGTCTTTTCCATCCCAGGGGACTGCTGGCTCTTGGCTGCTATCGCCTCCCTCACCCTGAATGACACTCTTCTCCATCGAGTGGTTCCTCACGGCCAGAGCTTCCAGGATGGCTATGCAGGCATCTTCCACTTCCAGGTGAATGGCCTGGCCCCCTGGGAGGAGGGGTAGCAGGCACTGGAGGAGATGTGGAAGGAGGCCCCAGCACTCTGGACTTAGGGTGACGGGGCCACACCCTGCAGGGGGAGCCCTCCCTCTGGAAGGTATTTGCCTTCTCAGTGCCGCTCCAGTCATGTGTGAAACGGTTGGGCAGGTATTTCTACTGGCAGTTCTCCTGGGTGGTTGTGCGTTATCAGGGAGAAACTGGAGGAATAGAAAGACTTCTGTGTTATGTCCTGTGGGACAAATTCTTCTCACCGGGGCCTCAGTTTCTGCCTCTGAAAAAGGAGTGTTCTGCTGGGGAAAATTTGACCATTCCCCGCTTGTCAGTCTTCCCATCTCCCAACTTGCACACTCTGGCAGCCTCTGACAGCCCTGACAAAGAAAGACTCAGGAGTAAGTCTGTTTACACCGGTTCTTCCTGGCGTTTGTGACAGGGCCATTTTTCAAGTCCTACAAATGAATTCTCAATGAGCTGGGGTTGGGAGAGACACAGCCCAGCACCTGCCCTGGTGGTCCCAACCAGCCAGACGACAGTGGGTGTCTTCTCCTTCCGTCTATCCAGGGAGCCCACACCACACTATCCTTCCGCCTTGCTCAGAGCCGATGGCCCCCAGCGGCCACCTAGCTGAGCCACATTCGCAAAGGGCCACACCTGCCGGGCTCAAGTCCGCAGGGGCGTGGCCTTCCCACCCCTCTCCCCGCCTCCTTCCCTCATCCTTCCAATCCATTCCTCCCTGTCTTCTGATTGGCCCTTTCAATATCCCTCCGCCCTCCTACCCCAGCTCTATGCACCCTCTCCGCTCCTTCCGGCATTGTTCTTGGCCGGGCACCTTCGGGCTGCCGCTGCCCTGGGGTTGAGTCCCACCCTACGTCCTACCCTGGGAAACCTGCCGCTAGTCATCTCTTAAGCAAATCACTTGATTGTGAGGAACCAGCCCCACCTATCTAGTGGTAGAAAGCTCTGGATACACATTTTAATTCTACATCTGTTTATCTATATACCTGTGTGGTAAAAAATACAGTAATGTTTTACATTTTTAAAAAGTTTATTAGAGTAAAAGAAACATTGCCATGAATCCCCCTCAAAATATCCCGTCTGGGGCCAGGGATTTAGCTCAGTGGTTTTGCCCCTGCTGCGCAAGCGCTAGGACCCGAGTTCGATCCCCGGTACCAAATAAATAAATGAAAATATTCCGTCCTGCTTCTAATACATATATCCCATCCTTCTTAGAGCTTTCAGAAGTACTGGAAATCCTTTTTCTGGAGTGTCTTTAGTTGTGCTGTCGTGGCTGCCTTGATGTCCTGAATCCATTCTAAATGTGTACCTTGCTTGGTCATTTTGACTTTTGGGAAGAGCCAGAGTTGCAGAGTGCCAGATCCAGTGAATTAGATAGATGAGCTTGCACCACAATGGTTTTAGGAGCCTGTCTTTTCTTTGGACTGCACAAGCCCGCGGTGCTCACTGTATTTCTGATGACACCCCATAAAGACACTCAGGCAGGAGGACACCCAGAACTGCACATTTAAACATTCACCATTTTGATCGCCTCGTGTGCGGATGTGTGCCCACATACGTTTTTGAGACAGGATTCTGGCCCTGAACTCACAATCCTGTCTCAGCCTTGCAGAGTGCTGGTATTACAGGTGTGTATTCATGCCTGGCTCCCAGCCTTTATGTTTTTGAGCCAGGGTCTCACTAAGTTGCCCGGATGAGACTTGAGCTTGTGATCCTCCTGCCTCAGCCTCCCAAAGTGTTGAGCTTAAAAGATATGTGCCCGGAAAAAAAAAAAAA